TGTCCTAAAGGCATTTGTCAAGCCGATCATCAACGATAGTAAATCTTGGTCTTGCAGTCACTACTTTCTTCGGAATGGAGCCAAGTACTGACACCAATTGAGTTTCTCTATATCAACGCCATCTATGATTGTAGGTGCTTGAAAGTAACCTTAAGCGCAAGAATACATGATGCCTAGCGCGATTCAGCGGCAGTCAAAATTGGCATTGACATGTAACGTGATTGCGATGCGTTTAGCTACGGTTCTTGCGCTGAAGTGTTCTATAAGTATGCAGCACTTCAGAATAGCTCTCTTCTCTTTAGCCGAACCTATCTTGTGCTGAGATTGACAGGCGAAGATGAAGATAAAGAAACTAGATATTCAGAAATGAAGTTTCATGACGTAGTAACTTTGAAAGTTTTTTGTGAAGATAATTTTAGAAGCATGACGTTGCTGCATGTCGTCAAATTAAACAGAGTCATCCATCGATAACGTCTCACGATGGCAAGCCTCTTTGACATGTGATATATTGCTAAACGCGTTTAATGCGCTGCTTATTTGTCTACCCGTTTAAAGATCGCTATGTTGAATCTTTTATAGAATAATGAAGAAAATCCATACGGCAGCAGGCCAAAGCGATGTCGAAAATGATGCTGAAAATGTCACTTCAAATTTACTTTTCAAAGTCCCTGAATATGGTGCAAAGCCGCTCCACGTAAATGACGTAGGAGCCACTACCCGTAACAGTGCTTCCACCGCAAATGACTCTGAAGGCGCAGGCGGAAAACGAGGAAAATTTTTGAAGGTAAATAAAATGGACTCTACTCATTGACAAAGTCTAGTTTTGGTTACTTTGCACTGACGTTGCCTTGAGCCTGAGTTACGAAATGTCAACTTTACGCGTGTCACTTGTTTGTTACCGTCATGTCGGTGGTGCACTACTGCGATCTTAAAGCGCCATGAAGATCACATGGGTCGGTTCGAAAGTCGTTGCCTCCGAAACATTCTGAACGTCCAGCGAGACCACCGAGTTTCATAATAGTTTATTCAAAATCACAGGACTGAAGCACATGTCTGAAGAACTGCAGCATCAGTGGCTGTTATGGTTAGACAACATGGCTCATAGGAACAACGATGATCTACAGAAGATATTCCTAGCATGGGAGACGCAGACAACCCGAAGGACAGTTCAAAGCTGGCGTACAAGCAAATCTGTTCTCTACAAGAAGTATGTATTTACCGCAACAGCTAATGCTCAAATTGATCTGAAAACTCCATTCTGCACGTCTGACATTAGTCTTTGATTAATCGTGGCCCCAAATGACGATAACAGCGCAACACATACAGCCATTTCAAAGGACACACAGTCAGCAGCTCGACTACATGTTGTAATATTTTCTAGCCAGCATACCGTTCTGGTCTTAGGTCTTCTTCGGCTAGCTGCTAGTTTCTCACCGTCCTATATATCTAGCAAGTTTATTCGAGAAGCAGATGCTGAATTTTTGCCAATAAGTTGTCCGATAAGTAGGGAAGCAGATCATATTCGTTAACGACATCCAAGGTGCGCCATAGCGAGAGACTGAAAATTTAAACAGCTGCTCTACGGCTAACATCTGGATTCGATATTCTTACGTCAATCTTCTGCTAATACCAGCGATTAGGGAAAATTAATGCACAAAGCTAAAAATCTAAAAAGCTTTGCCACAACTCAGGACGAAGAAGAACAGTCGTGCTGATCGAATCTTCTGGATATAATCAAAAATGAAAAAGCCTGAATAATAAGAAAGCTCCACGCCCTCGTTCATTATTCATAAACACAAAATGCTTCGAAAGAATTGAAGTGCAAAATAATAATCCATATACCTAAACGGTAACGAGCAATCTAGTGATAACCTGGAGTACGCAGATGGTATTGTATTGAGTAGTACCGGGAGGGGCTTCGTCGCTTGATAGCTTCCGCATGCAACACAACTATGAAAGCCTGATTCGTCTTTAACGCCCTGAAGTCAAAAACTATGGGGATAGCAGATGGCATAACAATTCGCAGGTGAATCAGGGATATGAAACTATGGAAGCTGTCCGTTTCAATTACCTCGATCCTTCATCACCAGCGGCACCACCATCTAATCCAGGTTAAAAAGGAAGATCGACCCTTGCTACTCTTGTTTTTCGTTGCCTGCTGCATATTTCGACTGAGAAAGATGTATTCCTTCCACATAAGCCAGCCTGCAACTTTCTGCGATCAGTTTACTGTTTATTCAGCCCCTCATTCTGAAGAATGATCAGGAATGATGATTAAATATCGTAGAACAACGGTGACTTTAACATGGACTGCGGCTTAAAAGGCAATGTTTCTTACGTAATGACTTTGTTCTCTTTCTTGCACCACCCTTCTTAGTAGGCGCTAAGTCGCTGAGGTTAGAAAAGAGTTCAGTTGTTTTAAGTCAACTGGCTCATTAAAAACTTTATACATATGTCGAGCAGCGTCACTGCGGATTCAACAACGAGGCCAACCACGACATAAATGAGCTAGGTAAAAGCACATCGGCGTCTGGAAAAAGTGAAAGAATATTTCCTTCTACGATATGTAACTCGCGCCTTCGAGAAAAATTTAAGATGTTATTTCCAATATCAGAGATATCGTGTTTATGCAAATGGATGATATGTTTATGATTACAGCAATATCCTCACCGGATTTGAAGCTTGCCATATTCGGCTTAGAAGGTAAATAAGAGAATTTTTGCAGCTCTGCCCTCAATTACAAGTAATTTTCGGTTTTCACTAAGCGGTGTGTGGAGAGCAGCTATACTACATCGCACTGCTTCGTTCCAGTCTAATCATTTGCTTCGAGCTTGAGGAGAATTTTTGGATTACGGCCGCAAGTTGGATCGGAAGGGGAAGAACATAATTACTGAATTACCCTCCCGGCTTGCATATAACATCCCCTGTTTTCTTATACAATCACCTGATTTTCATGTCGAAAAGATTAAAATACCGTATTTTCTCATCGATAACGCGCGCATTATCTATACAGAAAGTCCAGTTAACGTATAAAAACAGCGTGGCGCGTTATGCAATGAAAAACAAATAATTCTAAATTTCTCAAGTCCCCTTTGTACGCGGTGATTCAAACTGCGTTTATTGTAAAAATAAATTAGTCTGCACCATGCATATGTTGAAATATCGGTGTATATAAAGGTCAATATAACAAACAACATAAAAATAAAATGTCAAATAACATTTACTTTACATGCATATTACACGTCACTCAAAACCATAAAACTCTTCATCTAATCAACATCAAACGAATCAAGTACATATACGATTTTTTCAGGTGCATCATCATTCAGTTCGTTTTCTGAAATTAATCCTTTGTCATCTTCTGTTTCTGGCGTTGTATTGTGTAGTATCTATTACATCGCCTAATGCTTTCAAAAAATCCACTTGTTAAAAAAGATGCCCTAATACCATGCCAACTTTTAAAGATCCACTTGCACATTTCATCATATGACACCCTTTTAATCTTTCCAGATTTACTGTGGTCTTTAATTCCAGTTATTATTCACTTCTCCTATCTGGAATGCAACTTTGACTTAAAAGATTTATTAATGGATAAATCAGTCAGCTGAATCTCATTTATTAATCTACCCGGAATAATTGCCAATTTGGAATATTTGCTACTAACACTTTCAGACCATAAGTAATATGCGCATCACAAGAGTCCATTATTAATCAAGATTATGGATTGAAAAACGCCTGACTTCTTTTTGTCCAAACATTTTCAACCCTCATTTTCATTATGTCTCGATTAGCCCATTCCTTCTCATTCACAGAGATCAAATTGTCTTTCGGAAAGTTTCCTCTGGGCACTGTTTTTCTCTTAAATATAACCAACGGAAAAAGCTTCTCACCATTGGAAGTCATACTATAGAAAATTCGACTTCTCATGTCAGGTTGTAGCTATGGAAACTTCTTTGATGCCTTTTAAATCAACAACCCTTGAACCAAGAAGATCAAAACTAACGGGCACTTCGTCCATATTGTCAAAATGTGCAGGATTCACACCACACAAATTTTCTTTAAAGAAAAGCATAAATTTCTCTACTCTCGCTTCCCAGCCGTCAGGTAGTTTTAGGCTAACACTCGAGGATGAACCTTTTCATAAACCTAAAAGCCCATGATTGGTAAGGTTTAAAATTATCTATTTTTTCCTCTTCTGCAACCACTTTTGCCCTCAACAAAATACTGGTGTTTGATTTACCTTATGTCCTTTAGATCTCTCTGAAAGAACCCACTCGAGAATTGCTTTTTTTAACTCTGGCCAGAAGCATCTCCCGTACATCTTTGCACGTTTCTTCTGGTGAAAACATTATAGAACTGCTTCTTCTTTCTTCCCTTCTCATACATTGAACTCTCCAACGTTAAATTTCCTAGCTGTCTCACTATTCCGTTCGCCTTTCGTGAAATTAACGGCTTCCAGCTTAAGCATCACTGTATAAGATTTTCTCCGCTCAGCGATGAGTATTTTTCTCAGTAGTAACTTTCAATTTTAAAAACAACACATGCGGAATACACGTGTGCGAAGGCCAGAAACAAAATGGCGACTCTTGTCAAATTCTTCTGTTCGTTTGTTTTAGATACATCAACAGCCAGTCATATTATTCCAATATTCACTTGCCCGAAATCTGCCTTTTTCAGACAAGCATTAGACAACACGCTCTCTATACATTTTCATGAGCATCAAATAGTGCAAGGTGCACGGTATCTACCAGATGCACGTTATCAATACATGTTGACGAGCATAAAAAAGTACAAGGTGTCGGTATACGTAAGTTGCGCGTTATCGATGGAAAAATATGGTACTCGGTATTTGTTAACTTCCCGATTTTCACGCGTAGAGTCGTTATTTGCAAGTAAGAAGTGCTTCTTCAACTAGTGAGTCAAGTAAAGTTTTCATTTAAGGCTTTCAGACTGCCGTTATTTCATTTTCTGTAAGTTACTGTAACGCTGCTATATCATATATGGTATTTAATATATGAGTCTTAATTGTATGCATCCGTCAGCAATTTTTGCGTGCTAGTGATCGTGTGTTTTGCAGCGAGTGAAAATTTTGCTTCCCCAAGCTGCACTACTGGTGATCGCATGCGCGTATGCAATTCTCGGTGCCTTGGTGTTCATTTTCTTGGAAAGTGGCACAGAACTGGACGAAAAAGAGGCCGTTCTGAGGAGCATTGATGATAAGAAGCTCCACTTGTTCGAAAATCTTTGGCAATGGTGTCATGCTGTTGAAAACGAAAGTGATTTCCACCGAAAAAGCCTACATTCGATTTATGCGTACATCTCGGATATGTTGGTCGCGTTCGAAAATCGTATCACCGTCGAAGAGGTCACAAGAAACGCGACCAAGCTTTCTTGGGACTTTAGATCAGCGGTGATTTTTACCACGGTTACAGTCACTACAATCGGTAAATAATGCAAATGTTAACTTTAATTTGTTCTGCGCTGTGTAACCACTTGTCGTAGAAAACTTTTAATTGGGTTCTTTTGATAAGCTATTAAGTCCTTGTGACCTGAAAAGTCACAGAAAGCGGGCAATGACCAAATACTGAATCACACATGGCAGGGCGACGAACGATGGAACGTATATCTCGTGAGCTACTACGGTAGCTGTGAAATCATGTTATGAATCATCAAACGATTAAAGATGATAGCTATTGATATCCTACTATATCCCATGACTCAGTGACTTTCTTCAGGATACAGGTATAGTACAAATTCTGAGCTTGTCCCGGTCGTCTGCGGTTGAGAGTAAATTCGGGGCTGAGAAGCCAAGCCAATATGAACACAGTCATCTTTAATTAATGCGAAATTTCTCCTTAGCGCAGTTTGTCGTATTTAATTCTCTGAAGAGGCTTTTGATGGGTTCAATAACTGGGAGTGAACATACATTCTTAAGTTTTATGAATATGAAGGTCAAGGTTTATTCCTTGATGATACTGACCAATAATGTAAAAATATTTATGAATATAAAACTGCGATATAGTTTTCCTGACTTTTAATTTTCTAAAGTTTAATTTGCAAATTTCACCTGTTTTTAATGATAAAGTCTACTACAATGTGTGTTAATATGCATTACAGCCGTAAAGCCGTTGCATTGAAGAAAAGGACCTTAAATTTGGTTGTTATGATTATAGGAAACCACTGCATTATCCAAATTGTGACTGATTTTTCAATGACTGTACTGGGGTGGAGTAATAAAACATTTTCTACAGTACAAAAAATCGGCATACTCCGAGCTTCGATTGGAGCCCATGTCTTCAATATATGAAATAAAAATAAATCCCTTGCACTTTCTACCATGTCAGAAAGGGCAGATGTGGTTAAGTTATGTCCAGTTAAAGGAAATCAGTAGAATAAATTGGAAACAGAACAATGGCGATGAAATGTACTAGCAGTACTGCTTTCTAAAATATGGCGTGTCATAGAAACATGACTGTAGAAAACGAGTTGTTAACGCTTTTGAATAGTCACAACTTCTGAATAAACTGACAAATTCTAGTAATTTGTGACATTGACAATTTTTGACATTTCGGACTTAGGTGACAATTTTCTAAATGTTTTGCATTTAATAAAGGCAGGTGGAGTAAGCAATTGCTGTGCACGTTTGCGCAGTTTCTTTTCCTCAGGTAAATCCTGCAATAATAAAGCATATGTAATCCAACAAAGTACAGCCACAATATCTGGTTTTACTCTGAAAGTTATAAGTTTTTTGCCCAAAAGGTATTAGAATTGAGTGATACGTTATTCCTTAATTTTGCTGGCCGCATCAACAAACCTACTAAACATTTGCCTAAACCTACGGTGAAACCATTCTAAACAGTAGGAAGTGGTTCAGTTGACCATATTACCGCTGGAAGAGCTGCAAAGTAGTTTGAAATTACCTAAGAAATGAGTTTGATTTGTTTTAAGCAATTTGTATTTGAAAAATCTCAGTACAGTATCTCATACTATGATACATAGATTTGAAGGGAATAAGATTTCGTCTGTTTGTTTGCTTCCTTCAGCGAAAAATTTCTTAGCGAATGTTTTCAGGTTACGGTAATCTGTTCCCTGACACTCCCTTGGGTCGAATATTTTGCATCATTTACGCGATTGTGGGCATCCCGCTGACTGTTCTTCTGATCGGAAGCTACAGCAAATTTTTGGTCAGTTCTGTAACCGCTGTGTATAAAGCGCTGCTGGCTCCGTGCGGCAGGAGATTGGCGATGATTCGAGGGCCTTTCATCAGGTGCTCATCGAAGGCGAAACAGCGCCTATCGGCAGCTTACTCCGACAATTTTGATGACGAAGAGAGTGATCCGGTAAATTCGGAGGAAAATGAAAGATCGCTGATGGCTCCTCCATATTTCCTTATTCTGGCTTTGCTGCTATATACTCTAGTTGTGGCGACCGTGTTCACCTGCTGGGAAGACTGGTCATTTGCAGAATCATGTTACTATAGCATAATTACCTTTTTGACTATCGGATTTGGAGACATGGTCGCAAACGAACAGCAATCATTCCTTTTCCTTTTGGTTTGCTCCTTCATTGGCGTTATGATGTCGACGATGTGTATTGATTCCATCAGGATGCATTACATATCAAAGATCCATTATTTGGGTAGAAAACTTCGAGAGGTGGAATATAAGTTTAATGGCAAAAGGCTCAACCAGAAAGACGTAAAACAGCTGATTGAGAACGTGACTATTCTACAAGAAAAATGTGGTCTAAATTTGCCGAAGGAAGAAGCCAAATCTATGCTGAAAAACTGGGAAATACTTTCTTCTGTAGAACATTCTTTAGACTTTATTGATATTGAGGATACGTCAAATTTTTCAGATTTTTATTTTGCTCGCTTGTAGCTGAAGGCGAGCATGGCCAATCAATTGTAGAGCATTCGCTTTCTCTGGTATCATGTATATGTAGTCATCTTAAAGATTTGTCTTACAAGCGTTCAAATTGTTGCTATTTACGAGAAAACGATCATTTTCTTTTATATGTGTTCTTCTCATCCTTAATTGTCACGTTTTCAGGCTGTCTGCTATAGACTATTCTGCCGGACGTTGAGCTAAACAAGAGGAAATATAGTCCAAACTTTGGCAGACTTGGACAGCCCGCGAATAAGATGAGAAAAAGACATCGTCAAGAATGGAAAGGCAATCAAAGAACGACAAACTCTGCAAACGTTTATTTATGAACTGGTTAAATCAGTTGCAGAAGAAAGCACACTTGTCATTGTCAAGAGCTGACTGTTAAACGTCATTCAACACAGGCACGAAAATAGAAGGAACGCATGACGTCATTCACATCAAATCCAGCGTTAATCAGTAACTAGTTCCTTGCATAAAATCAGTTCCTTCTAAAGATTTAGTCGTGATTCTGAGTCGGTTTTCAGCTAAAAGGTAGTGCTGTTGGATGACAAGTAAGAGTAAGAGTAAGAGCAAGGCCTATCCGTTATAGCTGCATGCTTGCTTCTTCTCTTCAATTCCCATGACCTCCTCTCCTTTCGGGTCGCCAAGGCAGACACGTCAGACAGTGCTTCCAATCTTGCTGATCATGTGCGAGCATTTGAGTTTCCGCACTAGTAACCTGGGTATCGAGCGGACTCCTTCAATACACCTGCATGAGGTTAATCTTGGCCGTTTTCTCTCTTTTCTGCTTATCGGCTGGACAAGTGGCAGCTACTCGCCTTCGTGCATGGAGGCATTCACAACACATGCCTAAACTATCGCAGCTGCGACTTCTAAATGTGAAGAAGCAGTGGCTATGCCCAAAGGTTCTCTCAGATTTCTGTACTTTGGATCATGTGGAGACACGTGAGGCCAGCAATTCGTTTCAGAAAATTAATTTCTGCCGCTTGTACTCTTGATCGAACTTTTTCACTGATGGCCCGCGACTCAGGACCGTCGGTAAGCATGGGGATAAAAATCGCCTTGAACATCGAGAAACATAGTCACGGTCTTCCGATTCAGCTCTGATTTAGTCACAGTGATTCGGGCTAGTTCTCGCGAATGCCACTGGCTACTCCAATCCACCAGTCGATCTTCTCCTCAAATTTTTCATCACTAGTAAACGTGACCCTGAAGCACTTGAATTCCTCTACCTGCTCCACTGCCGTTCCGTTAATCTGAAGAGAGCAACGAACAGGCAAACAACAACGCACTAGGCTTTACGAATTAGCTGCGCCCACACGCGGACCGGCTTCGGCTGCAAACCTTTCTAGGGAGCACTGAAGGTCAGTTTCAGAAAATGCTAATAACACGAGGTCGTCTGCAAATAGCAACCTTCTCGTCTTCCCAACTCCTACACCGATATCCTCATCGCCTTGGCAGCTCCTGACTATTCTATCCATGTACAACACAAACAGGATAGGGGATAGGACGCAGCCTTGGCGGAGACCAGTGCGAACTCTGAAAGGTTTCAACTTAATGCCATTAAGTCCTGCTATTAGGATATAGTGACTGGATGGCCCGTATCAACTGGCCATCGATCTCAGACGCGCCCACAGATTGTTGGGCAGGATCCAATCAGACTTTCCCTGCGTCCACAAGCACATATAAAATGAATACTGGCGATTTCTCAGTAATCTCACCAGGGCAGATATTTTGTCAGATGTGTTTCAACTAGACTGGAAGCAGCGCTGGTCTTCTGATATTTTGAAGTCAGTTATTCCACTAAACCTCCTTTAAAGGACCTTTGCGTAGACGTTACCCGGGAAATTTCATAAGGTAATGCCTCGATAATTGAAGTGCTCCCTGCGGCCTCCCTTTTCTAATAGGGGTACAAAAACTTTCGCTCTTTAGTTCCCTTATGTCTTCTTATAGCCATTGCAGAATCACAGACACGTGTAAGCCAATACATGCTTTGTTCGCTTATTGCTATGCTAATTCAATGGCCGATTTCATTAATCGCAGCAGTCTCC